GATGGATTAGGGGGGAGTGTTGGAGTCGGTGCTGTAGCGCCTGCGGTTTTAATCGCACCAAGTCCCGCATCGCGCCATACATAGTTCGCGCTGTCCGCTATCTACGGTAATTTTCGTATAGTCACAACTCTCGTTCACATAGAGATATCACATCTCTTTCACTAGTAGTCTCCATTTCTGTAGATCTGACTGCACTCTAGAATAGTGTCTACCTTACGCACTTCTGGTCCGTTTGGCGCCATTCCAGCGCCACTTAGTGTATGGTCGTGTTAGCTAGTTCCCACGCGCTCTGTGCGCCGTCATCTGCGCCTGAGTCGACTCTGCAGTCCTTAAGACTTACAGAGCTCGACTTAGGTGTGTAGCACAGTTTTCTTGCAATGAAAGACTTACAGAGCTCGACTTAGGCCATTGTGACCCCTCTGAGGCCCACTGCAGCTAACACCAATATATAAGTGTCATCTTCCATGTCATCAAGTAACTTGTCCCATGAGTCCTCATTGTCAGAATCATCGTCACTCTCACTCGAGCCCTCACCTCTGTTGGGTACTGCAGGTACATCACCATGTTCAGCAACATCATCCTCATCCTCATCCTCATCTAGTGCAGATGTATCAGGAAGCTCACAAAAAAGAAGATCCTGCCGGATTAAACACTTCAGTCCCTGTAGCGCTTCAACAATGTCACCTTTCAACTGGCTCCGACGCTTGCTAGTTGTGATTCCTGCTGAGGAAAAGGCACGCTCGCTCGAGATCAAGGATGCCATAATGGAGGGGTAGTCACAGGCTAGAGAAGCCCAGACCAGATGTCAGCTCACATTGACCTGCAGCGACAATTTGAGTACTGTTTATATGCATATCAATCTAGAAGAGTCCGAGGCTAGTTACACCCCACCATCCGACAATGCTTTGTGATCCAAGGTCCTCTGGGGGAGTCTGCAGGTACACATTGAAACTAGAACATCATGCTTTGCCATCGACCTCTGGAGTTGCTGATAGCATTGTGGACACAGGCTCTACTGAGCCATTGTCACCAAGTTTGTTGTCTGAAAGTTTGCCAAACAGCTGCTGAAGCTGGCTAGTGCAGGTGGCAGAACCTGTGGTTGCTGTCTTCTTGACTGAACTCTGGTTTGCACTAGATGCAGACAAATACATCTCATTGTACTGCTCCCAATACTGTGGGAAGTAAGCCTGACTACTTATGAACAATCAAACAAAGTGCGTACAATGTCTTCAGCACGTTGGATGACGCTCATGTACAGCTCGTCATCCCAGCATCTCTTAAGGTGTAAATTCTTCTGTGATGGGTCAAGTACTGAATATTATTGGTAAGTAGGTACATCAGTGCATGAATCAAGGCTTTGTCTGTGACGAATTGATGTACGACTTACACATGGCCATAGTATATATATCAGAAACCTCGGTTTTCGAGTAGTACTCGGAGATTGTCACAAGCCCCGCTTCTAGAGCCTCCTTGAATGGTACGTACTGCTTTTGAGTAGCACAGTGTGCCCATGCTGTGTGGAGTGCTTCGAGCACAGGGAGCACATGGTGAAGTGTCAGTGCTTGATCAGACTAGAACGACTGCTGTGCATCATCTGCATACTAATGCCGTAGTGATATCAGTATCAATCCATGTGAAAACATCATTGGAATAAAGATACGTGCCTAGAGAAGCTGCGTTAAACCTCGTACACGATTCCATTCCTCATCAGAGAGCTCCATCTGTAGGAGTGTCACAGCCAACGAGCTGTGCCACCAAAACAAACAAGGGCAAAGCTTACTGATACAAAGGTTGGTGCTGAGAAGCGAAGCAACCAGAGGCGACACAGCAAGAGATGTGAAGAGGTGTATTCCCTAGACTAGAAGGGGCAGTAAGGAAGGTAGGGCTGCTAGCTACCTACAGAGGAGATGGGGGATCAACGAGAAGATCAAGTCTGAGGTTCCCTGCCTCAGACTCCCTACTATATATACTAATGTTGAACAGGCGCTGGTCTACACAGCTTGCCTAACACAGCCGTCACAAGATATGGAACGGCACAGCCGGTTACTGCAATAACCGAGGCTGTACTACTCATGTGGTACACACACAGCTTTGCTGTGTACGCACTGCGACTGTGCATCCTAGGAAGGTACTGTATAGTACTACGTAGCCACAGATGTACAGTAGTATATATAGGGGACCTCTGTACCCCCAATCTACAGTTCAGTTCACTCGAACATCTCCTCTCATCGCTCTAACAAGCCTCTTACAACCAACAACCATTCTAGGTGAGTTGCAGGCTATCCACTGTCGTTGCCACCCATGGGAGAGGCCTTCGCCCCCCGGGTTGAACAGGTTATGAGCCCTGCTCGACGCTGCAGAATCTGCGCCGCTCATTGCGTGCTGCGATCTGTAAGCTCACAGCTCACCTGGATCTTTTGCCATCATTATCGATGTGCAACCGCTGCTTGGATCTGGCGCGATCATACGCTGCCTGCCATGCATGCGCTGTGGACTGTTGTGGCGCGCTTCGTCGCTGCCTACAGTGCCACAGAGAGGTAACCCATGTCGGCATGATCTCTCTCTGCCTCGACTACGTTCTTTGAAGGTGTGTGGCTGACAAGTCTCCCTTCTAGAACCATACCTCTCGACAATATGTCTGGTGCTCTCTACAGTGCTGTCCCTACCGCCTTCGACGGCCGCAACTACCTCGAGTGGGCGCAGCCGATGAAGTCGTACCTCAAAGCGCAAGGCCAGTGGGGTTCGATCATCAACACCCAGCCTACCGACGCCAATGAGGCAAAGGCCTGGCTCGATGCCGACCTCAAGGCCCAAGACAACATCATCCTTCGCCTTGCCCCCAGCGTTAACAGCGCTGTGTCGTCTCAGACGACAGCCAAGAGGATCTGGGACTACCTCGAGACCACCTACGGCAAGCCTGGCGTGCTGGCTGTCTACCAAGACTTCCGTGCTGCCCTTGCTCTCTCCGTTCCAGCCGACTCGAACCCTGTCCCCAATCTGGACAAGTTTGAGGCGTACTTCCAACGTCTCGAGACAAACAAGTTTGTCGTTGCCGACCACGTCAAGGGCATGATGCTCATGGCGAAGCTCCCTTCCAACATGGATCCAATGATCCAGCTCTACATCGCTGGCTTGCAGCCTGCGATGGGCAAGACTGCGATCGAGGCGATCACCCTTGCTAGGATCTGCCAGCAGGTCGTACTCCATTGGGAGCAGCGTCAAGGCCGCCAGGGCCAATCACGTGCAAGTGCGAACAAGCTCAGCGCTGTCAAGCGCAAGGGCCCCGACCCTTCCTTCTGCCAGCAGCAGCAGCGCCCTCAGGAGCAGCAGCAGCAGCAGCAGCAACAGCAGCGCCCTCAAGGGCAGCAGCAACAAGGTTGCCCTCGTGGGCAACGTGGTGGACGCGGTCGTCGACAGCAGCAAGGTGCGCACCAACATGCACACTTCGCATCTATTGCTGACACCGTCACCACACCGACCATTACTTAGGGTCCGGACGTGGTGCTGGATCCACGCGCCCTCCTGCGCAAGCCGGTCTGCGTGGCCACAGGGAACAACAAGTACCTGTCGCTCACGCATGCCATATCCCTCGCAGAGGAGCTCGATATTCCGGCAACCCCCGAGCGCATTCGGACGTTAGAGAACCTCGTGCGGCAGCTGCCCACTTCAACAGGTTCCTCGACGACCTCCTCCGAAACATTGCGCGAGACGGAAACCGTCTCCTCGGACGTCCCCAGCGCGTCCATCAGCCTGTCCAGCCCAGACACCAGCCGCGAACCATCTCCAATCAGGAGTGGAACCGCCGCGTTAAGGCTTGGACGTACGAAGGCACCAAGTCCTCTGACAACGGATGGGGAAGACCCCCTGTTCTCGGACGAGGAAGAGCCGGTGCCGCCGCCCAAGCGCAAGCGCACGCTCAAGGAGCGGCTCGCTCCAACACTCAGGGAGCGTCTGGACGATCCCATGGACGAGGCGGACGACACCGTGTCACTCGGCCTAACTGATGCTGAG